TGCAGACAATGTCACACTGGTGCAGACAATGTCACACTGGTGAAGCCAATATCACACTGATGAAACCAATATCACACTGGTGCAGACAATATACACCAGTGAAGCCAATATCACACTGGTGAAGCCAATATCACACTGGTGAAGCCAATATCACACTGGTGCAAACAATATACACCGGTGAAGCCAATATCACACTGGTGAAGCCAATATCACACTGGTGCAAACAATATACACCAGTGAAACCAATATCACACTGGTGAAGCCAATATCACACTGGTGAAGCCAATATCACATTGGTGCAGACAATATACACAGGTGAAGCAAATATCACACTGGTGAAGCCAATATCACACTGGTGCAGACAATGTCACACTGGTGCAGACAATGTCACACTGGTGCAGACAATGTCACACTGGTGCAGACAATGTCACACTGGTGAAGCCAATATCACACTGATGAAGCCAATATCACACTGGTGCAGACAATATACACCAGTGAAGCCAATATCACACTGGTGAAGCCAATATCACACTGGTGAAGCCAATATCACACTGGTGAAGCCAATATCACACTGGTGCAGACAATATACACAGGTGAAGCAAATATCACACTGGTGAAGCCAATATCACACTGGTGAAGCCAATATCACACTGGTGAAGCTAATATCACACTGGTGCAGACAATGTCACACTGGTGCAGACAATGTCACACTGGTGAAGCCAATATCACACTGGTGCAGACAATATACACCAGTGAAGCCAATATCACACTGGTGAAGCCAATATCACACTGGTGCAGGCAATATACACCGGTAAAGCCAATATCACACTGGTGAAGCCAATATCACACTGGTGAAGCCAATATCACACTGGTGAAGCCAATATCACACTGGTGAAGCCAATATCACACTGGTGAAGCCAATATACACAGGTGAAGCCAATACACACTGGTGCAGCCAATATCACACTGGTGAAGCCAATATCACACTGGTGAAGCCAATATCACACTGGTGAAGCCAATATCACACTGGTGAAGCAATACTAGTTTCATATCAAATCAAGGCTGTACTAAACATATCTCAAAAAGATATTCCAGAATGAAACACGTACTGTATTAGCAGATAGTGAAATATGAAGTGGAAAGAGTTAATACAGAAAGAAATTATGATTGCAGGGAATAGTATGAACACATACAGTTGCTTTGATTGGCAGAAAACATTATGTTACACTTCATGCCAATACAATGTGTTCATGCAGTGACCATGCAAATAGGCAATATGCTATGCCCTAGCTCATTACAAAAACAATATGGCATGCATAGGTTATAAGTAAAAAATATGGCATGCGTAGGTTATAAGTAAAAAATACGACATGCAAAGGTTCCGAGTAAAAAATACGACATGCAAAGGTTCCGAGTAAAAAATACGACATGCTATGAGTATTAGAAAAAGCAACATCTGCACTTCACATTTGCCAACTTGATATTGACTTGTATATTACTGTTTATTTATGAAAATATTAATTCCAAAACAGACAATTGATTTAATTCTGATCACAACTTGGTTCTATTGTATTAGTATACGAGAAACATAATATATACCATTTTTGTTTTAATTAATATATAATATTTTATGTTTAGAATTAGTTATCAATGCTGGGCATAAATGAATAGAGCCAAGGGTGTTTATTTGTTGAAAATTTATAATATTTATAATTTCAAATTATCTGATCCATATTTTGTGCACATGAAATGGAGAACTGGTTGGCAAATGTATAAGTCATTTGTTAAAGACCTGCCTGTTGACTAGGGTTAGCTTGATATGCGTTAGGAACAACACGCTGAGGTGCATAGAGAGAAGAAAGCTTTGATCCAGGGGCTTGAACATATGCCGGCTCTTCTGCGATCATTGCAGGTTGTCTAGCACTGTAGTACTGGTCAGATGTACCCTGGTTAGGAGGCAAAGCTTGAGGCTGAACATTGGAGTCCTCAAGCAAACTATTTGGTTGTGGCATGACAGGTTTTTGATATGCATCATTTTTATAATCCCCTAGAGTAGTCTCCTTAGACTTGTAAACTGGAAGAGGTTCCTGTAAACGGTAAACGGGGGCAGGCTCATTGGCACTATTGTGTGGGATATGTTCCGGGGGTGCATAAACTGGAGCAGACTCCCTGGGAATATGAAATGGAGCAGGTTCTCTGTAAATATGATCCTGGGCATGTTTCTCTTTAGTGTAATCTGGAACAAACTTGTCTTTGCTAGGCTCCCTAGGTATATAATTTTGAACAAGCTCCTGAGAATTGTAATCCTGGGCATGTACCTTTGGAATGTAATCCTGAGCAGGCTCCCTAGGAATGTAATCTTGAGCAGGCTGCCTAGGAATGTAATTCTGAGCAGGCTCCCTAGGAATGTAATCCTGAGCAGGTTCCCTCAGAATGTAATCCTGAGCAGGTACCTTTGCAATGTAATCCTGAGCAGACTCCCTAGGAATGTAATCCTGAGCAGGCTCCCTAGGAATGTTATTTTGAGCAGGCTCCTGGGGATTGAAATCATGAGCAGGCTCTTTTGGAAGGTAATATGGGTGGGGTTGCTTAGGAATGTAATTTTGGACA